AAAGGCGTATACTGTATGTGGCTACCTCACTTGTTAGTCTGTCAAGTGCGCTTTACGCATCCTGCGTACATGCAAACAGACAGACGATGCCATTGGTGTACTCCAAATCGCACAGCTTTTCTCCAGCTGCCCATTCAATACCTACGTTTTGGAGACCACTTAGTGATTTCCCCAGTATTTCGTCTACAACGAAATTGAACAGGAATGGTGAAATACGACACTCTTGACGAACACCGCTCCTGGTTTCGAACGATTTTCTTAGCCCACCGTAGACCCTTACGCTACCAGAAGTATGCAAGTACAACGACCGCACTAGGTTTACATACTTACGCGGCATTCCTTTGCGGAACAGCGATGTCATTAGAGCTTTGTGGTCAACTGAATCGAACGCTCCTTTCAGGTCAAGAAATACTGCAATCGTTTTTCGATGGTGGGCGTGACGCAGATCAAGGACCTGACGCAACGTGAAAATTTGATCATTACATCCACGGCCAGGCCGAAATCCGACTTTCTTTTCACGAATGTTGATCTCTCCTGAAGGAGTCAGACGTCGAAGAATGGTAGAGGCTAGCACTTTGGTGACGATCGGGATCGAACGTATCCCGTGGTGCTTTTCGCAATCGNCGAGATCCCTTCTGAAAATGAGAACGATCAGTGATTCGCCTCAAGATGAAGGAATGCGCTTTTGCGCCCAGACGTTGCGTAGTACGGTAGTAATGGAGCTTTAGAGATTATCACCAGTTTGTTTGTACAACCATTAGCCATGCACTATCCTGTGCCGGTTTTGGTTGCTCTCTTTCAGCAGCCAACTTGGATGAACAGTAGGAGAAAGACAGGAAGATGGAAAGTAGAGTCGAAGAGAAAATTAAGAATCTCAGTAAACTATTGTTGCAAAGAAATTACGAAGATGCACGAACGCCATATCACTTGGTGAGGTTATCACCCCCCCCCATCTTGCAAAGATTGGGAGGGAGCTTATCCGGTCCTGCCGTCTTTCCTCGCTTCAGAGCTTGAATGCGCCACCGGACATCTGCTTCTACTCGCGAATCGCACGACACTGCCCACGAAGTTTTAGNGTTAGCGGCAGGCCAGCCGAACTGTTCGTCTAGCGATCAAGTCGTTGATCCCTATTGTGAACAGCTTGTCTTCTTTTATCGCAGACTGTTTCACTAAGTAGAGTTCGCCGGCCTCCAGTGTTGCGTATCAGTCGGAACAGTCTGACTATTCCCTGATGCAGCTGCTATTTCCATTTCACTAGCTATTGTTGCCCGCCAGTTTTCACGATCCTTCTTGAGGCTCTTTGTCAGCCGACGTTGAAAACATCACGTAACCCTGTTTTGATCCTGGAAGGTCGGAATTTGTCGTTTTTGATCCATCAGTGCTACAGACTCATCAAATATCCAATACCCCCGATTGGCTTGAGGATCAGACCCACAAGCAACATTCGCTGCGTAATGCATTGCTCGCTTAATCTGATCCCACTGCTATTCTACATCATCGCTTTGAATCGCGCCTAACTCGCACACTATCTCTGACTCATAACGCGCATAACCCGTAGGAACAGACAGTAGATAATGATCTATCCGATTTTGCTGGTTTTGTCGTCGCCCAGTCAATCAAAGAGTGAATTACGTCCAAACTAATTCGTGGTCAGACTCAACGCATGTAGTCCCATAGGACCTGCAATTTTGCACTGAGCCACGCCAACAGAAGCTTACTACTGTGTGGTCGATTTAAGTTAGCGTACCAGGTAAACTGGAGCGTCACATTGCCGTCCGTCGAGAGCTGTGTCGGAAGTTGGTACTGGCTAGGGACAGATGATGGTCTCCGAAAAACTGAAGAAATCGATCACCTCTATCTGTTCGTTGGCAGGGCAGAGCACAACTACCACCTAGGCAAGCTTCTGTTGCTCCCAGTTTTCCAGCCTGCGCGTTGAAGTCACCTGCAAGTACAACTATGTCGGAGCTTCGACAGTCGAACGAGATCGGTGAGTTTATCGTAGAAAGCGTCCTTTTGTGTGTCGGAACCGCAATTGGTCGGTGCATACACCGATATGATGAACAAAATCCTTTTGGTGTTGCTTCCCTTCCGGACGTTGATTGAATCCTGGAGACAAACTGCACACAAACTACCACTGACGGGGATCCAGTCGATTAGAGAGGACTCCTCCCTGTTACTGAGTACAATACCTACCCCGCGTTGACTTACTGCGCGGGCTTTGTCGTCGTCTGATGTGCGAAGAACGTATCTCGTCGACAAATCTGGCGCGCCCAAGTGGCTTATAGTTGTAGGATCCTGAATTCCAGTCTCCTACAGGTAGCAAATATCGATCTCTAAGGATTTCATTGTACGTGCCGAACAAGCTTGTTGACCTACCTGCATCAAAGCCCTCACGTTGAAGGTATCCAGATTCAATGATTGACGAGGCGTTACAATCTGTAATCCGTTTCGTGGTACATAACTTTCAGTGCTGTTTGGCAACGGCCTTTGGCGAGTGACGACCAAGTTGCTTGACGGACCATTACAGGTCGGAAGAAGGGGTAAAGGGAGAGTACTGGGCACCGAAGACAATGAATTAA